CCTACCCAAATGGACAGTACAAACAATGAGCAAGACTTCCTAGTTCTTTATGTGACTGGAATGTGTATACTGAGAGAAATCGCCATTATTTCCATCATCCCAGAAAATTATGTAGGAGAGCACTGGTTTACATGATTTTATATGACATGGAAATACATTGATTTTTTTTTTTTTCTTTTTGTAATTTGGGTGAAAGTTTCCAGAGCATATTCATTGTCCATACAGCGGTTCACATACACTTTGTCTCATGACATTGACTGAAATATCCCACAATGCAATAGCTCTCTTCCCACTTCCTCCTTGTAGTTACCTTTCCCTTGTGTCCCTCCCTCCCATGCACTCCTGCCCCCCAAGCTGTCTCCCTATGCATACACAGCCCTTCTATTCTCCCATGATTGATCTCTCTGAGGAGTTTGTCCACCTAATGGAAATGTTCAGCTCATACGCCTGTCTTTTGTTTGGCTGGAAGCCACAGGAGTGGGTTCAATTCCAGACCTGAAGGGCAGCGAGGGGCCATAGTCTCAGGGGTTCCACCAGGCTCTATTAGACCAGTAAACCTGGTTCATTTTTTTAAAAATTATCTTGAATTTTGTTCCACAATGTTTTCCTGCTCTATCCAGGATCTCCTAGGAAATACATTGATTTTGAAAGTGAATAGATGAGCTAATTAATCAAATCCTGTTTTGTCATCAAAGTGAATTGATCATCGAAAGAAGTTTACAAAATGGAATTTTCCCTCAGGAAAGTTTTCATGTGGGATTAGAGAAACAACTGACTATAAACATAGCAGCATAGAAACAAAGAAGGATTCCCCGGAATAAGTCAAATAGTAGGATAAGAACCTTACTGTCTAAGAATGGCAGAGCATAGCAGATGGGAGTTAAGTGAAGTCCTTTAGGATTGTCTTAGAAGTTTTAGTGCAGTGTATTACTTAATATGGCCTTTTTAGCCAGAATCTTTGTAACTCCCACCAGGTAATTGGGCGGGTCTATGCAAATGTGAAGTGCTTGTGGCCCACCACTATGATTATGATTGTATGGATAGCTTGTAATAATGGAAATAAGGTGCATGGACCCATGGGAGGCAGGTAGTCAGACCATGCAAATAATATATAGAAGCATAATGTGGGCATTAGTCACTTTTGATATCCTTCTAGGCTTAGAATGAGCCATCCCAGAGATGGAAATGGGGGATCTGACCACCACCAAGAAGAAAGATGAAAGTGGAGCATGTCCTTTGGACCTGTAGTCCTTGCAGGGGAAACCTCCTAACAACCAGGAGACAGAGTATGCCAGGGAGATGGCAAGCAGAGGCAGCAGAGCCAGGAGACCAGCAGGAGATGACATGTTGGATTTCCTGACCCATGGAGCAAGAAGGTTGAGTGTCTTCAGGAAGGAGGCTTGCTGGCAGAGTTGGGTGCCTCTGAGCACTTATTTGTAGAGCTTGAAGAGTTTTGTAACACTTGCACAGGGAAAATGCCAAGGGGCTGCCAGGCTGAGAGACTGAGGGCCAGAAACAGGTGTGCCCACAACGGAGCTGAGAAAAGAGTGTCCTGATTGAAGAACTACATCCTAAATAATTTCTCATCCTGAATCATAACCTGTTAAACCAAAAAAGACCAAACTCACTGTCATTGAGTTGATTCAACTCATAGTGACTCCTTGGGTTTCTGAGGCAGTATTCCTATGGAAACAAACAAAAAAACTCACTGTTACCGAGTCAGATCCAACTCATAGAGACCCCTTCTTGGGTTTCTGAGGTGGTATCACTGCAGAAGTAGATGGCCCAACCTTTCTTCCAAGGAGTAGCTGGTGGATTTTAACTGCCAGCCTTCTGGTTAGCAGTCAAATGCCTTAGGCGCTACACCACCAAAGCTCATTAATGTAGTCAAAGGAAGATGCAATATCAACATCTGATGATGTAGACATAGGACAATGGGTACAAGGGTTTTACTTAGAAGTTTGGGGAGGTAGAAAATCCTAAAAACCTCTACTGACAGTTTCTTTTCAAAATCTAGTGCCATTAATTCCAATTCATGGTCACCCCATGTGTGTGAGATTAGAACTCTGCTGCCAATCGGTTTCCATGGATGATTTTTTGGAGGTAGATCACCAGGCTTTCATTTAAGCCCCTCTGGGAGGACTTGAACTTCCAACTGTTCTTATCCATCATGTATTTAAACAATGCATGAACCATTTGCACCACCCCAGATTCTTAGGGTAAGGACCACTTTGAGTGGTACTTAACCATCCTGCAAAATGAGATCTTTGTTTAATGTGCATGTCTCGCCTCCCAAAGGAGATCATACATTCTTCTTCATAGATTTGTTTGTTTGTTTGTTGTTAGATTTTTGGAAGTAGATCACCAAGCTTTATTTCTGAGGTGGTCCTGGGTGGACTTGGATCTCCAGCCTTCCCACTGGCAGCTGAGTGTGTTAACTGCATCACTCAGGGACGTTAGGACATCCCTTCTTGTTATTGGTTGCCAGTGAGTGGATTCTTACCCATGGTGACCCCAACAGAGTAGAACTTTTCCTTAGGGTTTTCAAGGTTGTCACCTGTCTTGACGATGTGTCTTTTTAAAATTTTTATTATTTTTGCAGTGTTCCTTCCTCTCCGCTCCCACCCCTGGTCATCAATAAAGAAAGTTTCCTTCCATATGTAAACCTTTCCTTGACTTTTTATAATAATTAATATAGTACTTGTCCTTTTGTGATTGACTTATTTCATTCAGCCTAATGTCCTCCAAGTTCATCCATGTTATGTGGTGTTTTGCAGGTTCTACATTATCCTTTAGTGTTGCGTAGTATTCCATTGTGTGTATGTACCATAGTTTGGTTATCCATTCTTCTGTTGATGGGCACCTAGGTTGTTTCTCCTTCATAGATTTTGTGAGTATTTTGGTGAAATGAATTTCTTTATGTGGCCTTTTATCTCAGCTAAGGGGGGAAAAAAAGAAAGAAAAGAAACTTGGGATATATAGCCCCTAACCTCTGAGGAGTTGTTACCTTTGTCCTAGTTTGTTGGAAAAGCAAGATGGTGTTGGGGGGGGGCATGTGTTTCTACCCCAGAAGGTTTATTATTTTTGCCCAGGGGATTCCTCAGGTTGAAAGATACTTCCTGAGTAAGGTGTAAACCCCTTCATGGCTAGATACTTCTGTCCCGCCTGGCCTGGTAAATAGCAAGACCTTAGTTGATTGACATCTCCTGGTTAATTGAAAATTGGCAATACTCTGGAATTGTGAGGGAGGCCTTGCAACTGATGAGAATCAGGATATGTAAACAGGTGAAATTGTGACCTTTTTGGGAGGTCTTCTGGGCAACAGAAGAGATGCTGGCTAAGAGCTGGAATGGCAGTGAACAAGGGCACATGGAGGCAGAAGGCTCACAAGGCTGCCACACTGTCTGCCTCAGCTAGTTAGGAATGGAGTGGCTGACAGAAAAAAGGCCCACAGTGGAGAGACCTGACGGCGGAGAGGTCTGGCGACAGAGAGCATCTAAGAGAGCTGAGTGGGCTGCTACACTGGCTATGAGGCAGGAAGTCTGACAGCAGAGAACACTGACCTTTGAGGGGCCTGATGTAGAGCCGCTGAGAGCTGAGTGGGTGGCTCCACCGACTGTGACCTAGGCCAATCAGGGAGGCTGATGGTGAAGGGCCCTGATGTCAGAGAACATCTGACCAAGCTGCTGTACTGACTGTGAGCTAGACCAGTTAGCAGCAGAGAGTCCCGTGGTGGAGTGCCACTGGTGGAGTGTGTGCACAGTGGAGAGCCTCTGATGGCAGAGAACTGCTCAAGGTACTCATCAAGAATTGCATCAGCAGGGTGTTCTTTTGATGCATAGTTGTCCTGCGAGAAAGCTGCCCTGACTGACAGTTGCATCCCAGTTCTATCCTGTTACTTCCCAACTGATCCTGATCCCAACTTGTAGCCTGTTACCTTCCTAATAAACCATGTAACTATGAGCATGGTCTGTGCATTTTGAGTGGCCATTGCAACCAATTGTCAAGCCCAGCTGAGGAGTAGGGACTGCCATAGGGGAACTGTTGGTGTCAGAAATGGTGAAGAAGTTGGAGAGTGGAGGTGTGTCTGTCTTCTACCTCATAGGAACTAGCTTTGTGCTGATTCTAATTCCTATCCCTCATGCATTTAGACAAATACTTACGCTATACCACAACTCTTAATTCCAAAATTTTGGGGCTTTTTTCCAATTCAGCAATGTGTGTATATGTGTGAATGTGATTTGTTTGAACGTTTACAGTACAAATCCATTTTCCCTTCAACAGTTCATACACATTTTGTTTCGTAACATGGATTGCAATCCCTACAATGTGACAGCTCTCTTCAGACTTCCTCCCTGTGGTTACCTTTTCCCTGTATCCTTTCTTATGCATTCCTGCTCTCTGAGCTAACTCCCTGCTTAG